ATCATCTCATTTCATACAATATCACATCACGTAATGTAATAAAGCTCTTCTTGAAATCAAATACGATTATTGTAGAAACAGTGTCGTGCTAATTAAAGACCGCATCACCGTAACACACCAAGTGCTAACACACAATTACAACATTAAATAGTAATATCGAATTTTGCATTTGTTTATCTATCAATTTATCCATTGTGCACCCATAAGTGCGTACTCAAATATGCTTGCATACACAAAGTACTTTCTGAGTATCAAATCATACGATTATCCATACATCCATTCATTCAACAGCTTATCCCATTCATCACAATTCACGTTTACCACAATCCTTCTCAATTCCTTCCTTCCTTTCTTTCTGACATTCTCTCATCTCTTCGCTTTTCCTTGCAGTTGCTCTCGTTTTTCACTGTTTTCCACGAATGAAAACACGAACATTCCTCTTTCAAAATCAATCTATATCTTTGTTGCGTTTTTTTCAACAAAGTATATTTTCTTTCTTCAAAGTTACCATAAAAGTTAACAGAAATATATTTAATGCTCTTTTCCTTCTTTTCATCATCGTCGATCATCATCACTATACTTCTTCACTGATTGTGCAAAGAAAAAAAATTGAAATATTTGTTTCGAATAATTTCATAAAAAAACGAACAAACAAGTTTGAAGATACATCGGCTCATGCCCCGAAGACTGCTTTTGTTCTTCATGAATGATACATAATGAATATATGGAAAACGCAAATAACAGGATGAAGAAGTCAACCTCATTGCAACATAATGTTTATCGTCAGTATGAATCAGCTGCATCGAACAAAAAAATACCATTTGTTCTTTTACGAAACAGTTTTTTGTGTGTATATCAGCGAAAAGCCATTTTAATCAACCAAACTCGACTACTATAACATATTTCTTTGGATTCAAATTTGATGGGAATTTGAATTTGAGAGGAAATTTGAGGAGAATTCAAGTCAAAGCAAGATCAACGTAACACAATGAGGTCAGTCAGCTAATCTCCATACATAAGGGCAGTGTCGGATTATTCTTACCCATTCTAGAATTTTGTGGTACTTTAGAACAAGTGTAAGCAAACTGCGACGGTAGACTGTTAAACTAGAAGAGTGCCATACCAGTAATATATAGGTTATGCAAACATTTGCTATACGGTCTTTAACGATGATGACACTATTAAAGCTAAATCTGCTGATAAAATTAGCAACAATCATATAGAATAGAGATGAGTAGTAGACTGGTATGAAGCGAGATATAATAAATATGCTATTGATAGTAACGCTTAATAAGGGGAAACCACTATTGTGCAGCCCATAATACGTGGTCCGTTCGGGCGTTTCGCCATCATCGAGGAAGGCATGAGGAGAGCAATAACCGTGTTTGATGATGGCGAAATACTGGAAGGGATCAGCTACTACGGGTTATGCAAAGGTGACTTTTGTTATTACCAAGAATCATCTTCAACATGCAAACAATGCAAGTATTCGAAAACAATAAGTTATAATAAAATTTTTGCAACGAGTCTATTCTATTTCCGCTAACACAGGAAAGTTTTGTTTAGTAATAACTTTGAGTAACAAGTCAGTAAATAAAAACGACTGAGATTGTATGCAACATTAATAGTGTTGCAAAATTATGCGTCATTAAACAATCACTGTAACGCTTAATTGCTCGAATTAAATGCGAAATGTTTTTTCCATCTTCCTCAGAGCACATCAAACAAGAATCGATTAGGTCAACGAAGCTATATCTAAGTGTAATCGTGACCGTTATCGACTACGTCAATTCAATCTTAAAATAAATTCATTATTATATATAACATTCCTTCAATTTTGCAATCGTCATTCACAATTTTGTTTCGTACTCATTTCTTTTCCTGATGTTCAAATCCAGCAGCTTAATGCGTTCACATTCAGCTACCATCTCTGAAATTCTATAAACCTTAATTTCCAACTGCTATCGGTTCATTTGAATGAATTTTTGTTTACTTATGAAGGATTTCGTTCATTTTGAGAGTGCATTCGACGGGCTAACTAAATGGACCGAGAGCTTCATCTATTAGCACAGCATGCCAACAACTGATACCAAGTAATGCCGTTCCTCTGCAACCAAACGTAGAATATGGAAATTTTCAGTTCTGTCATTGCGTGAATCGATATTTTTTGAAAGAAGTATGCATGGATTTTACATTTGAGATAGCGCAAGGCAAGATGCAGAAAGAGCGCTTGACTGGCGCATTTCTTTTTTTGGGTGATGCCGTCGATTTTTCACGAAATGAGTAATTTAGTGGAAACGTCATAATGTTTTCGTTGTCAGACCGAATCTTTTTCGTGTTTTATACTTATTCTTTGTTGTAGTTTCCTCGGGAAAGTAAAGTGCTTTCCTGTTATAAGACGAAAAAATTTGCGAATTTCTTCGAAAATGTACCTCTTTCAATTAGCACTGAATGAAGGAATGAGTAGATGCGTGTATGTACCAAAGTGTTTATGTATACGTTCAATGTCTTTCACGTGAAGAAATTAAATTCTTGATGCTTAACTAAAAAGAAAGGACAATTTTTTGTGATCCCCTTGATTTAAGGATTATCACAAAATTACACATACACACAACTTACGGTTACTGATTGCTGAATTCCTTCATAAAATGCATGTCCTAATACCAATGCACTTGGATATTGTATGCAGAAAAAGCAGTCATAAGGTTAAATGATAAACGTGTTAAATGAGGCGAGTTTCATTGACTAAAATTCACTTAATTACAGTCGAGAACAGCGACGATCCATTCACTTTCAGCAACTAGTCTTCTTGAAAGTCGTTAGACCTTTCATGATTTCTCTTTTTGTTATAAATGAGAGGTGTCAAAATAATACAGATTTAGTTCCAGACGCAGGACAAAGGGATGGATATACGAATGGATTATTGATCAAGAACAAAATCAAGTGGTAAAGAATATTTAAAAACTGTTCAACTATTCAGTGTTTCCAGTGGCAATCAATTCACAATGATCAACAAAACTGTTTTGTTTCAGGTGCATATGGCAATTTTTCCCGTTTTGTTCAACTGATGCCAAGCAAACGGCGTTCTTGCTAGTGCAGCTGAAGCATTAACAAAAATTATTATGAAAACATTAATTTAAGACGATACAAAACGAATTTGTCGACTTAATGAGTTCATACGATGAATGAGAAAATTTGTTAGAGTCGAAAAGGCAAGTTGAAGATAGATATTCTCACTGAAGATATCAGAAAGATATAATTGATAAAGAGCTAGATAGATTGGATATGTACGCTAGTTCGTTTGCAATATTACAAGTATGTACTTCGGTTTTTTTGCTGCAGCAGCAACAGTTGATTTATTGTGGGTATTTATGTGAGAATTCGTATGTACCGACGCCGAAGACAAGTACTTTAGCGGTGAAGAAGTGATGAAATAATATAGAATTTCGACGAACGCATACGGATAGACCGATTATTAGATGAACAAACAACCCGAATGCACTAACAACATTCTTCTCTTGGTTATAACTAATCTTAGTTTTCATTTCTCATTCTCAATGTGATTGCATTTTTTGTGAATGAAAATTAAATGCGAAAAACTCTGAGTGGATGATGCATGATGCATACCTTTCGTCGTTAACAAATGTTGAGACTTTTAAAGAAAATTTTGCAAATGAGAATATAAACGCGACGAAAATAATTCAACGCAGCAATACAGCGCCGTATTTATCATGCTACTAAGTCGTAATAAGTGAACTGATAGACATCCATGCAATTGAACATTCTCGCATCTACACCCATCACTTATCGTCACGAATATGTCGTTGATAGGCAGAAACTACTCAGTTTCAAAATCAAAATTTGATGTCTTCAAGTGAAATTGTCCACATTTTTCCGGAAGATTATTTCTCACTGTCGTTCATCCGCCTACTCATGTGTATCATTACGTACCTCGTTCTTTCGGCGCAAGCATTTCCCAATATAGAAACAGTGAGTGAAGCAGAAAAAATGTAATTTTTTTCTGAATTGTTTCACCCACCGATCACTTCTTTGTATGAGATATGAGGAGGATAACTCAAGATTTTCAGTGCTTATGAATCTTTGAAGTAAATTATTACAGTCGTTTACAATGGCATGAAATTGTCATAAAATGAATAATCAATGTGAACAATTGTAATACATGCTGCGATGAACACTTGACAGAACATTCAGCTGTGTATCTAAGCAATTGAACGGTTGACCATGGACGAAGGTTAGAGAGCAACTAGCTCTCTAACCTACGTGAACGCAATGGAACGAAGGAGTATCTATGAGATAATTTCTAGGATGACTTGCAGCCTGCAGATCATATTCAGAAAAGCATTACGTTAGCGAGATTATCGACGTTATCATTATTAGTATTATCATTAGCTGCACTCTAATTTATCTCATGATGCAAAAAGAATGAAAGTGAAAATGATAAAGTTGAGACAGATATCAACATCATTATTGTTATGATAATAATATGAAGAGTTACTGAGAGGTATTAACAAGCATAAAACCTTAATTGATGGCTGAATATTATCCTCTAGGGTAAATGTTCAGCTGAGAGCAGTGACCGCAGAGCAGGCATCGGCAAGGTTTATTCTAGGATAACCATTTTTCGTAAGAATGGCGCTCTTAAAATCGTGGCCTTTTGTTTCGTGATGAAAGCATAGTAAAGAAATTACGAGGATATGGGTCACTGTGCAGCTGATTTCACATGAGAAGAAATGTTGACTCTTTCTGGATTCTTGCTAAGTCTTACGACCGATTTTGGCTAAGGTTAATCCTAGAGCTGACGCCCACCGCGGTCTTAAGCTACGACGATATTACAAATTATAATCATTATATTATTAATAACAGATAATTGGATAATAGGTATAATTATTACTGTTACTAATAATGGTATATAATTATTCACAGTTTTCGTTTTGGTGATATTTTGGATGCATTGAGGTTTACATGTTTTTCATTTGCCCCTATTTACGGACGCCATGCAGGCAATCGTTTTCTCCACGATAAACCTAACTCATGGAGAGAATGGTCCAAACTCATAATAATATCTTCAATGCATGATGATGGAACGAATTATGCCTTAAGAGGTGTTTTTTTACAATAAGGTTTGGTTTTTTAGCGTTGCAATGAAAACGCACACAAAAAATGTTCGATAGAAACTGTGGTGATAATGAAAGACGATAAGTTATCACTTCACTCAATCGCAATTGCACGAATGAAAACACTTCGAATGAATAGAACAACACAAAATGAGATTGATGCCGTTCAATCAGTGGATGCGAATATTTCACTGAGCTATGATAAGACATGGAATAGTATGTTTGAATATGGTACAGAATGAGGAATTCGCAAACCTCATCACTCTTTGTTGTTGCCGATGAATTCTTGTCAAATTGCTGTTGTTGCTGCTTACATATGTAATTATTAGTACTCCTGTTGTCATCATTTTTGTCAGCATTATTATTATTATTATTATTATTATTATTGTTATTATTATTATCAGTATTATTACTAGTATTATCACAGTTAGCTAGTGATGGTGATGGTTGATCGAAGTTTGTAGCGATTGGCCAGTCAGGAATCGCATCGAATGGTTGCATAATTTTTAGTAAATTGAACGACGAAGCAGCCGCTGAAGCGGCAGCAGCAGCAGAACTGATCAAAAAAGATTGCTGCATAAGATTATTGAAATAGGAAACGAATGGAGTACGTAGGTTGTGGTGTGGATCAGTTGTTGGAGATAGTGGAAATGGTGTAGCGAGTTGCATGGCGGCTGGAGCCGTAGTGGTTGGAGAAGCACTTAATGGTGATATACAGAAATCGAACGAACGACACAGATACTCATCAGCATTACCCAGCAGCATTGTTGACGCTGCGCATCGATACGCTTCACTTGCTTTTGATGTATCCATATTCTCAGAAGTGCAATCATCTGACGACAACAAATCGTACAGAATTGGAGCCGTTGATCGTAGACTACATTTTTTGTGTTTTAATTTCGAAGTGGTATTTTGGTAAGAGCGAGGATTCAAATGATGATTAATGTTTGAATCGGTGATTGACGATACTGATGCTGCTACTGGGGTATTATAAGGTTGGAAATAGTTGCTGAATGAAGATAACTTTCGACACTGTTCCATTATCAGCCCGCTGCCGGCATTCATCGACTGATTGCAATCAACCGTAAGCGGGGTCGTATAATATGAAGATAGTAGTGAAGAAGAACTCAATGTTGGTACTGAAGGCGCATGCAAAGATCGTTGTTTCTTGCGAATCAGTCTCTTCTTGGAGGTTGGCAATCGACATTTTTGTTGTTTCGAATAAGAATGTGATGCAGATTGAGCATCCATAGAAGTTGCATCGGATGGATGATGATGTACGAAATTCATATGATAGGGTGAAGGGGGGCAGAAGTCGTCCGTTGTCGTAGAACAATCATCGTAAAGCTTACTGAATTCGGACGCTTTACCGTCAAGAATTGACGCAAATATTCGATCACGAGCTGGATGTTGATCGCGACGATATTGAGAACGAGAATAGGTAGACGCTGGGGAATGTTCATTTGTTATTGTTGCTGATGATGATGTTGCAGTTGAAATTGACACTGCTGATAAATTCTGAGCGGTCATCGGCGAATAATTTGATGATACGATTAGTGGGCTACTTGATAACATTGTCATCAAGAAAATAGGAACAACAAAACAACTAAATTGTGACAGTGTTCTTCAGTTTGCAATAAACACCATTGGTATTCAGTTAGTAGCGAATATTGAATAAATTGCGTGATATGAATAATAATTTTGAGGATGGATATTCAGAAAATACTTCAATTCGCTTTCGACTGGTGTCGGATTCTTACGATTGCGACAACAGCAAGTCGAAAAATCACACTGAAGTAAAACAAAACGAAACGCCGACTGCAAGGAACGAGCGAAGACGACGATTTGACAGTTTTATAGTTCGTCGTACTGAAATAAACTTTTTTTAGAGAACGACTACGAAATGGTCATTAAATTTATGATTAATGTTTTATCACTTCAACTCGAACGAAAGTCACAAACTGATATTCAATTAACTTCGATTATTCAGCTGCGTTCAAATCAAATACGACGATTGTATCAGATAGCTGATACTTTCTTGTTTTTCCTCTCCTATTTTCCTTCTTTTGTCTCTTCTTTCGATTTTTATCTGAACAAAGTTTCACTTCTTTGAATAATGGCGAGGACGGTGATGACACTGTTTTAGTTATGATATCAAATTAGACTGCGAGACGTCGTTTAAAAAAAATATATTAAACCGTATCACATCATGTGTTCTTATCTACCCACTCGTGCCTTAAATCAAAAATCACAACGAAAAAGACTGTTGATCTTCCTAAATTCGCACGCCATCAATCAACACAAACACAAAAAAGAATATCGTTGGCGGTAATCGTCAACGTTAATCTCATTATTAAACGAGTGGTACCCAACCAAAAAGTCCATCAACAAACATCCAGCATACGAATGAGGTTTGTAGCAATAACGAACAAATAAATCGACGAATGAACAAAACCACCCACCCAAGCCAGCAACCAGCAACTAACTAACTAACACAAACATAACATACGTACGTACGTGCCCAATAGCAATTGACAAATGGCTGTACGCAAAATGCACTTTAACTTTTTAGCACACATTTAATTGCTGTTGCTGATGCCATTGCTGACGCTGCATACTTCGACGACTTTCCTTTGCTAGTTCGTTTATTTGTTCGTTCGTTAGGTCCTCCCTCTCTCCCTCCCCTTCCACTCGCTACTCCTCAAATTATTCATTCAAAATTCCTTTCCTCTTTTCATTTCCCTCCATTTTTCATCATCATCATCAACACCAAATCTCGTCAATTCCTGACACATCTCCTCGATTCTCACCACTTCAAACTACTCCAACTCGAATTCGTCCATTAATTTTCAAATCATTGTGTACAATCGCATTTCATCACATCTCTTTCTAACCATTTTTTGCCTAACTCCTCTTCGTCTCATATTTCACATCACCGCAATTCGATTTCGGTGCATCAGTAATTGCCATCAACCAAGTGAATGCACCTAAGGTGCAGCATCAAGGGGCGTAGTTATTTGAATGAAGACGGCCGAACCGGACCGAAAGCTGCTCCATGGGGTTGGCTTCAACCACTCACACGACCAATCAATTCACTTCGTGCACAAACAACCTGCAATCACTTCTTGGAGCAAGTGCATTCTCATATTTACAGTAACCTACTGCAGCAAGAACATATCACAAGCCCAATGCCATCTCGCCCTTCTATTTTTCCTTATACCTAAACAATTTGCCTCGACGGCTACGCTTCACTTCTTAATGGAGTAAAACCCACTCTTTATTCATTCCTTATTTCTGATGAACCAGCTAACTCACTAGACTACTCAAATACAATAAAAAACTTAGAAAGAGCAGTAATAAAAAACATTAATGAAAACGCTAACAACATTAGTAAGAATAATTTTTCTAGTTTATAATCCCGCTAAGATGTGGAATTAAAAACGGATTTTTATGCAAATTTGGGGTGAGTAATTCCCATATCCAATATGGCACCATGTTTGTTTATCATGGATTATTGCTCAATTTATAGGTACTATAGGGGATGTGTTTCGACTGCGCACAACAAGTACGCATAATAAAGATGCTGACAATAATTTCTCAAAAGTAAATAGCAAGCGATAGTACGGATAAATGCAGTTGATGAAAAGTGCAATGCTGAATACGGTGATACTGATTGTGAGCAAACACTTGCTTGCATCATCAGACTGAGGCGAATTACTTAATAGGGTTGTTGAATGTTTCCAATTCAATTAACGGTCAATTAAGTAGAACAATAAACAAGGATGTAATATGAACTTAATGAATGTGGATTCATGAAGCGTTGGGTCACGATTTCTTACACATTCAGTTCTCAAGTAATGCGGCACTCAAGAAACTTCCATTTCTCAGATGTTCTTCAAAATGGGTATTGACTTTCAAAAAGCTGACAACAGCATAAAGACCGAAAAATCCACAAGTCTTTATCTGAAAGGCCGCAGATTCCCGTCCCTTAATCCTAATCCACGGAACTCGAGCCGATAACAAGCAAATAATCTCAGTGACTGAACGAAACTGAAAATTGCCGAATTCATCGAATCGATATGACATGTTCGTAATTTACTTCCAAAAATATAGTCATCTGACTGAAATCTGAAGACATGCAAAGATGGAAGTGCAAAATGCTCTAAAAAATAAACTGTCTAGAAGTTTCCCGTCATTGGAATTCAACAATGTCTCGAATACAAGAAATTCTGAATTAATCAATCATATTTGTATCATGAGCTATAACATTATGAGTGGTGAAATTTTTCATTAGGTAAAATCATCGAAGTTTCGCTTGCCGAATGAAAAGAGGTAGTGATGGCATCCGACCGAAGTTAGCTTGGAAAGATGCGACAAATTTCGGTTGGATGCCATCACTAAAAAGAGGACAACTCCAGATCCATGAAGCAACCAATATTCGGTAATAAATTCTGGTCATTCAAAGCGCTTAGTTTGCAATATACTGTACTAGATACAATAAACCTCTGACATACAAAAACTTTTGCTGCAGATAATGTGCTCCCTATGTGTACTGAAAAGAAATGAATGAAATGGAGAAACGCAATGGTATTAATTTTGAAATATTAATGGGATGAATTTGAATGAAAGACAAATGCAAAAACTCCGCACAACCACCGTGCATTCAACAGATAGCAATCAATTTATGAATATGTAACGCAAAATAATAAAAAAAATCACAGAACAATTAATTCACCCGTTCATGAACTATGAGGATAGTCAGTCGATGAAATGGTAATTGAGAGATCAGTCAGACTGCTCTTGAAGCAATCATTTCGAACAGAGATGATCTTAATCTTAATCACCTCGTAGGAACAATTTTGATTAGACACATAGCTATGAATATAATAAAATTTGATCACTTTGATTGAATAACTTAATTTAGTGATCCAGAAGCTGTCGTTTAAAACTTCATTGTGCTATAAGATTGAAAGGCACTTTTACGTGTCGTGAGAATGGGAAGCAACGAATGATGACTGGAATTGTTTCGTATCTTTTAATTAAGAGTTAATTGAGCGACAGCAGTACGGACTTACCTTCCTTTGTTCATCTATAGTTGATGTGCGCATTCATTTACCTACGTTATGAAATTCAGTATTTCACTAATGCTTTGTACTAAAAGCAGTATGAGATAATACGATGGTGATAATGAAATGAAACGAAGCGAGTACAGAATATGTTATGCTTGCTATCATTAAATGTTTTAACTAAGAATGTGACAGATACAGGCGCTTCAGATGATGATAATAATTCCGTGTTTTTTCTCTTCAGTGCATACGAGGTTGAGTTTCATGGCTGAAAGATCATTCACATAGCAGGAATTTTATGCACGAGTCGGCGGGTTAGCTCATTACATGAAAATGAAGGATCAGATTTCATATTTTAAGTAGAAACAAGGAATAAAGGAGAACGAAACAACTATGAAAGATAAAAATGAAATGAGAACTCAGCAATGCCATTATTACCTCTTGCACATATTCTAATATGTGCAAGAGGTAATAGTGAAGATGATTAATAATGTGAAATGCAATGGCTATTTCGAGAGCAACGTGTAAACATCGCTATTTTCAAATGAACGAATTAAACAAAACCAACAACAAAATTGTATTTATTCAACAGTTAACTATCTCGCACTTTGAATCCATCGCCAAACCAACTAGCCGATTGTCACATTGTTTCTCAGTCTATTACAATTCTTGGCTTTGATCGACCATTCTTCGTTCATTTCACAGATTCGCACCTTACGTTCATTCATGCTTCTTTCTATCCCTCAATCGCTCTGTTCATTCACTTACATAAATAGTTTCGCGTTCTCCATTTGTCTGTTGTTATCCTCACAATAGCAGTAATAATAACAATTTCGGTGCAAATTTCTCAACAGGAACACATCAATATTTTAACATCAACAAGTGCCGTCACTATTCAAATCCTAACCACTACTAAATTGTCCATAATGCTAATAACCAAACCACTCACAGCAGCACCACCACCACCAACAACTAAAAAAACAATGAAAATATCTTGACTACCATCATTATCAATGTTACCTCATTATCATCATCGTAGATCTCTTCCTTTACTGCTGCATTCTATTCCATTATCGTCCTCTTTTACGGAGATTTACTTCGTTTTATGAAGATTCACAATATAACAACACATTGTTTCAACGCTATGAATAAAGCAAAAATGAAAAAAACTGTCGTGGAAACGACATTCACTGTTCACGCATTCAAATGAAGCTAAACTGGAACATAATCGAACAATGTTAAGATCTCAGTTCATTAATCTCTGATCATGTGTTCGCCATCTTTATATTACAATTTGTCAAAATTGAGAAACTTGATTTTATTGCCGTTTATTCGTTTTCATTTAGATAGTATTCTCAGAAACATGTGCATTTTAATAAACCTGAACCTGGAATGCACATTGCATAGATCGTTTTTTGCAAGAAAGACACTGGAGGTAAATCATTTAGAAACGAGTACTGAAGTGATGCAATGAGAAAATTTGAAAATGTTGCTGGAGGATGGACGGTTTAAATT